TTCATCATTAAGGGGACCTGTTCTCTTTTACATTAACTCTCATCAAAGTCCTGTCAGGTTTCAGAAATGCCTGGGCCTAACGTTGCAGGGTGCTGTGTGACTTCATGGAAGTCTGTCAGAACTGAGGGCACTCAGCAACTTGCTGGATCAGGCACTGTGCCAGCATGCCCACATTCTGCAGCTCCCTACTTAGTTTGATCCTGCATCTCTGAAGTCCCTAGGAGTTTTGCACTTGGCTTCAATGGGAGTTGGATCAGTCTCTTAGTCTGCATGGTTGAAGTTCATTGCTGAAGGGATGGAGAAAGTGTGGGTTAGGGCAGATCTAATTTAGCTGTGGATCATCTAGTCTTCTCCCACTTCCCACTCACCCTGTAGGCAATGCATAGACTTAACATACACTTGTAGTGATGGCCACAGACCAGCTTTGATGCCACTTTCAGCCAAGGGAGAGGATCTTTTCTTCTCTGCATCTCTGCAGAACTTGCTGCACACAGCCCAGCTTCTCGGGTTGTGTGGATTTTGTCATTAAAGAACAGCATCTCTCCTTTAATAGAATGTGAAAATTAGTGTATTGTTTGACACTTCACCTTACAATTGCTTAGGCCATTGTTTAACACTTGAAATTGAAACTCAGACACAGAACGGTAATTTTTTTTTCTTTATTGTGCATCAGGTGCATTTTTTTCTTTTACAAGTAAAAGTTGGGGATGAAAACAACTGATCATTATTATTATCATCCTGCTTAAAGAAAGAGTCTGGAAAACATGCTGACTGTTCACATTCACACCAGCATTCTAAGCCATGTTGTAGCTAATTATTAATGAGAAAGATACATTGTATATAAGTAGCAGAGTAGGTCTTCATGTAAACTGATACAGCCCATTCCCTTTATGATTTAGGCAAATGTTGAAATGAAAATGGTCTGTGTGTATACATGTATATCTACAGGATGTGCATTTCCCCCCAATGTTCTGGCATTTGTAAATAAAAGGGATTCAAAACCTTACAGACTACAGTAAGGTGCAAGACCCCAAATTCACATCTGGTGCACACAGGAAATCTACATTGACTTGAAAGGGATTGCCTCCACTTATGCTAGAGGTGATTTTGGCCAGAGATGATAATGTTACTCCTTAAAACCATACTTGTTAGGAAACTTGCACTTTTGGTCAGCATACCTGTATCGCAGTTCTGCAGATACTAACCAGACCACAGACATGGGCATTGTGCAAGGCAGAGAGACCATCCATCACCGTGAATTAGAAGTAAAATATTAGTGAGCAGACATGTTCAGCAGCTGAAGCAAATTAACTGAAACCATTTATGTGACTCATAAGAGAAAGATATTCATTCCAAATTTTACTGCAAAGTGATAAAATCTGAAGGTTTTTACAGTTCTGAAAACCAGGGCATTTTCCCACTAGGACACAAGAGTGAAGTCTGAAGTTTAAAAACTTGTTGCCTAGTATTTTTCCTAAAACAATTTTTGCTCAAATTGTTTATCATATTACAATCCACTTGGCAGGGCTTTTTTGGTCCCTTTTAATTTTTAACACTGTTTTCTTCATCTGCCTCTGGGTTGTGCCTCTTGAGCAATAAGAACATCTGCAGAAGCTTTTCACAATAGTTTTAGGGTTTTTAATGTTTAGAATATGTTGATCACTTTTGTTTGTGTGTATTTAATGTGCTTCTTACATGGGGGCTAAATTCAGCATGAAGTAAATGGGGGGCAAATACATGGTAGTTAGTGGGGTTACAGCAGAGATGAATTTGACCCTCAGCTTGTTTACTCTGACTCCTGGAGCCATAAGTCTTCTGTTTATCCAAAGCCTGGGTGTAGCAGAGGCAATGCAATCTTCCCATATTGCTCTTCTGCTGGATTTCAGCTCTGGTTTAGAGCTGTGAACTGAGAGAGTATTTCAGTCTCCATGCTCTTTTATGGTTGGCCTCTCTGCTGAGGCTGACAACACAGTGTCAGTTAATGCTAACTGTGACGGTGATGGCTTTGTAACATGGACCCTTATCCACTGGAAACAGGAGTTAGACCACTAAACTCATTTGTCGAGGGGCACCAAAAAGCCATCACATGACAGGAACTTCTAGTCCTTTCTGACTTGGATGGGATTCTAACTGTAAGCCTAGAGACGAAAGGCTAAGGGAACATCGATCCCAGTCCCTTTAGGCACTAAGTGGCTCAACACCTTGCCAGATTTGGCCCAGTGAATCCTCCTTCCATTTCCTGTAGTTTCAGATGGGGGAGGGGGGAGAGAGAATCTGAACTCATTACTGATCTTTATTTTATTGTAATTTGGAAGAATATTTGCAACAAACATGTTTTAATTTTAATATTTGGACTAAAATATGAATTTCACTCTCAGCCAGTTGAAATATTTCAACTGGTGGAAAGAATCTATTTTGTAGTAATCTAAACACATTACAATAATAATGTATTTGATTTTAATTTGACTAGCCATGCTGACATGAGCTCAAGAGCTGCCTGGTTATCCTTTTATGGAGGCTATGTTCTAATCTGTATTTGAATAAAGACTTTTTCTTTTTCTTTTAGTAGTGGAGAAGGGGTTAGGGTGGAGAGATTTCTACCACAGCCATTTGCTATCAAGCTTTAGCACATAACTGATAGTGGAAAAACAAAATAGTCTAACCGAACCGGAGGTGGGGGGAGGGAAATGAGCAGCCAGGAGCTCAGTTTTTCGTTCCAGCCGACTCAACTAGCAGAAGGGAAAGATCTGGGGCTTATTGCCAGAGAAACATTTCTTAGTGTAAACATTTGAAGGCATCTCTAGAATGCCCTTATCATAGGAAGCCCCGGAGCTTTTGTACTCTGGAAGTTTTCAAGTCAGCAGCAGCTTGGCAAGCAACTATGGCAAAGAGACTTTTTAATGTGGATTTTTAGTACAAAGAAAACTAAAACCAAGCTGACCAGAAAGACTGGAATTTCAGCTCTCTCTCTCGCCCCCTCATAGGATTTCTCTCTCTCTCTTTCTGCAAGCCCTTTAAATCAGATTACTGGGTCAGTGACTTTCATTATCCCTCTTATACCAGTATCCTCTTGTCTTCAAGCTCCTGAAGGAATATTGCTACCTGTAAGTACCGTCTCTGTGTCCTCCCTCTCCTATTGAATATATTGTTGTATGAATTGAATGCTGTAGCGTTTATGCTTGTAGTATTAGTTAGTGCCTTTACTGAACATTGCAACAAGGCATACAGACAATATTTACAGTATTCAGGATGAAAGATTCATTCTAATTTAAGATGGAAAAGAGGCATTAAGTTTACCACTACATTTAAAGATTAGAAGTGAAAGATTCCAAGTGAATCATATTATCTTAAAATGCTTTTTTTTTTACTAATTGATATGTATTTCTAAACTGTCTTTATTCCACCACCAGTTCACTAATAAAGCTTTATAATTTTATATTTTGTTACTTCCTTCTTAAAACTCAAGGGTTTGAATGTGTTGTTTAGCAAGGCTTCTTTGAATTTTCTTTTAAGTGAAACACAGTAAAAGAGAGAGAGATGTGGTACCAAAACCTGAACATGCTTTTAATATTAATAGAATTCAGAGTAAAGCCCTTCAGATAGATATATTTGCTTTAGCTGGGAGATTCTGGGTTTTTAAAGCATATTTTAAGGATATACAGTATTTTATCTTGCAGTAGAAATCTGAGTTAAGTTTTTTAACATTTTTTTGTTTGTATTCATATAGCTGTCTTCTCTTGACCTGAATTCTACAGACATTGATTTGTAATATTTTAAGGAAGTGCTTTGCTCTGCTCTTTCTTTGCATTGATACAGAACTAATCTCCAAAATTCAACTTTCTGGTTGTGTCTTGTTCAACTTCATTTCGTGTTGTGTTGAGATGCATTAATAAGCCAAGCTGCTGCTGATAATTACACAGTACATCCTGAAAGGAGTATTCAAAAAACGTTTTGGTATTTATGATCTGGGGAAGTCTATTAACTGAGCCAATTAACTGATTCAGTGCTGCATAATTTGCTAGGTGCAATGAGCAAAATGCATCTCCAGTGCTACCATGTACCTAATATGTCCATGTGACACTTGACCGTGCTCTACTGCTGCTGCAGCTGTGCTTAAGTAGTGAAAGAGCTCATGGTCTAAATTCACTTGTCCTCTTTCTTCTCTCTCTTATTCTAACAGTGTCCACTAACGTCCATTGTAGTTAAAGCTCTGTCAGCATTTCCATTATGATCCTTCCCTAACATTTTTAAGGGTTTATGATGGGGATGTTTTCACCCAGTACTCAAACATAGAATAAAAGCCTCTGCTCTAAAGTCTTCTTGTGATCTTAAGTAAAACCCTGTTTAGAAGTTAATTGAGTGCGCTGTGATTTAATACCAACTATATGAAGAAGTTGGTGGGTGCATGATCTCCACATGAAGACTGTACAGCTGTTTAATTGCTTCCCTCCCCTGCCTATGTAAAAATAGCAACCCCTCTCTTAAGGATAAAATGTAATACAAGTAGCTTAGAAACCAATTACTTTCTTGTATGGGGTGAATTTCTGCTGGAATAAGGGAGATATTCTTGATGTTTAGGGAACTTTCCCAGAAAATGAATTCCCCACACTATTATCCCCATTAGCTGGCTATAGTGTATGGAATGACTGTATGCTGATGATATACAGCATTGCGGAGACTTGGTTTGGATTTTAATCCTGTATCTGAGGCCTTTCAGCTTTGAGACTTTTTTTCTACTGTGGGGATTTCTGTTCTATGCAAAAATAGGCAAATAATGCAGCAAAAAGTATCCATGGATATTAATTTATTTTTAAATGAATACGCCTCAGTTGTGTTCATTAATATGTTGTATTCACTTTCTGCAGCAATTCAAGCGATCCAGTTTAATAGTACACATGTTCACGGTAAGTGAATTTCAGCGTTTACACCAGATGTGAGTTCATCCAGTGCGGGGAAAAGAAACATTTGATCTGACCAATCACATCTAAGCAATACATTTAAAATAGTCATTTAAAGTAGTCATGACCAAATGGTCATTATTAGTTGAATAGTGAATAAACTAGAAGAAGTGGTGCTCTGCTTGTGGATATCCCATGAGCAGAAAGAGAAGTTAAATTGTTCACTGAGAATTATTCACTCAGCTCTATTTACCATGATCAGTGATTCTGCAATAGCCTAATTTGCACAAGGATAACCTTCTGCTGGGGGGAGGGCTAGCTCACTGGGGGGAGGGATAGCTCACTGGTTTGAGCATTGGCCTGCTAAACCCAGGGTTGTGAGTTCAATCCTTGAGGGGGCCACTTAGGGATCTGGGGCAAAATCAGTACTTGGTCCTGCTAGTGAAGGCAGGGGGCTGGACTCGATGACCTTTCAAGGTCCCTTCCAGTTCTAGGAGATAGGATAGGATATCTCCAATTCTCTCCTATATATAGTTGTCTGTGGAACTAGTTATTGTAGGTAGGTGGTCTGTGCAGAACTGGATGGCAGCAGCTCCTTCACAATTTGTAACATGAGATCCTATGAACGATTCATCTGCCTTTTATGCACCTAGGTGAAAAACCTGACTAGGCATAATGAAATGTTTTATTTTGTCTATAGCTGCCATTATTGTGATGCCTGCAGCAGCGTTTCAAATGGCTCTAAAAGCTGGCTGCGAAAATAAACTGCAGCTGTGTTCCATCTGATTTTCATATAAAAGTAGTCTCCAGCTGCCTAGAGCCATCTTGTGAATACATGAAGTTGGCATAGTGGAGATGCACTATGCAAACACCTTGAACAGTGAAGAAATTTATTTATATATATAAAAGATAGATACATTGCTAAAGAATGATGCATTACACTTTTTTGTTCCCAAATTACCATATTTACCAGCCTGGAATAATTCTGATGGGCCCTTCCAAAAAAGATCAGCTTTAGAACACTTGAGTGTTAACAGTAGTGAGTATCCTGTAAAGGGAGGCAGTGTCGTCTAGTGGTTTGAGCAGGAAGTGAGCAAACCTGGGCTCTATTCCTGACTTTCCTACTGACTTACCGTGTGACCTTCAAGCAAGTAACTGCTCTGTGCTTCATTTTCTCCCACCCATGGAGTAGGAATAACAACATTTTAAGTTTCTTTGCAAGCAATCTGAGGTTCTCAAATGAAAGATGCTATATACATGCATAGTATTGTTGTTAATAATTGCACATTCTGATTGACCTACAGAGGTGAATGCATTATTTTAAACAATTATTTAGTCTCTTCTATCAGAATTACTTGCTTGAAGATCACACGGTAAGCACATAGCATGATTGTAAAAACCCAGAGTGCCCAATATCCCTCCCTCTTCATAAGAATTGCCAGCTTTCCACAAAAGGAAGTGAGGGATCACACATGCTCCAGGATTTCACAGTCCTTTAGCATGTTGAAAGGCAGTTCCAGAGTGTCACTTAGTTCTAAAACAGGGATATCAGCAAGACCAGTGGAGGGGCTACTTGCTTTTGTCACCAAAAGTGAGGCATGGCCCACTCCCTGGTGAGGGGACCCAGAATAAGGCAAAATGAAGTCCCTACCCCATTTTCCCCCAGGTTACTCTTTCACCTCTTACAAGAGGACCTATAATTACATACAAGATATAGCTGGGGAGAGAGTAGTTAGGGGGAGGTTTTAACTGATTTTCAAACTTTCCAAAAAGTTTGGTGGGTGATTGGGAAATGGGCAAAGATTTGGAAAGATTCCTATTTCTCCCAAACTGATTTGCCCATCCCTACAAATAACCTTCCACAATAACATTATGCTCCCATTTGAGGGCAGAGGAATTCAGTCAGTGTATAATTCCACACAGATTAAAAAGGATGAAGGGAGAATAATGTGGAAAGTAATATTTTACCGGTGACACCAATCAAATTCTCCCAGAAGCTGGAATATATAGTTTCCTTCAGACAGCTGTCAAGATGATAAAGCTATATATTTGTGTATGGTATTCACATTAAGGGCCCCCCGATTCCTAATGAATATATATACCATGGGTGTATGACTGTTCAGAGAATGTTGCTTTCTATATGTGTAATGATTCTGAAAAACCAGGCAGGGAACCTGAGTAAGAAAAGAGACCCAGTAAAATGGATTCATTTTTACATTCCCAGCTTCTTGTGAGTAAGCTGTTTCTCTGGGGTTAAATGAAAAGAGGACAGAAACCTCCCAGTTACCTTCTCGTGGAAAATATTTACAGTATCCATGCAGTGCAATCCAGCAGTTAGAAATTAACTGTAGGGAGTCAAATGCATTAAAACGCAAGAGCTGATTTTAATTGTTGGTCTCTCCAATTATCTTTGGGATAATTCTCTTTTTAACAATGCAACCTCTATGTCTAAGTTTTAAAACTCTCTAACAGTATGAACAAATAAATGTAACACTTTAAAGAGAAACAATGCACTAAAAGGAGCTGTGTGGAAGACTTAGGGTATGTCTACACTACAGGATTAATCCGAATTTAGATAATTCGAATTTGGGAAACAGGTTGTATAAATTCGATTGTGCGCGGCCACACTAAGCACCTTAATTCGGTTTTAAACCACATTAATTCGGTGGTGTGCTGCCACACTACCCCATTAACTTAAACACAGTAATTCGGTGGTGTGCGTCCACACTAACCCTAATTCGAATTAACAAAATCGATTTAGGCTCTACTCCGTTCGTCGAGGTGGAGTACAGAAATCGATTTAAAGGGCCCTTTAATTCGAATTAACTGGCTCTGTAGTGTGGACGGGTGAAGGGTTAATTCGGATTAAGGCAGCTAAATCCGAATTAAAGTCCTAGTGTAGACCAGGCCGAAGTTTTGAGGAGAGGCAGCAATGGGTGTAACAAGTTGTTAGTCTCAGTCAGAAACTATGACCTACTTAATCACAGTGCCCTTTTAACAATGCACTGTTGACTGTACGGGATGCTGTGGGGTTTTTTTTTTTTAAGAGGACTGGGTTGTTTAGATAAGTTTAAAGTATCTGTTCCTGATTTAGAGAACATTTTTTTCTTTCTATGTCTACCTTTTACAAAGTTCCAGGAGCTCTATTTGATGATGAAGGAATGGAGCACGGCTCTCTTAGGAAGAGTCCCATCCAGTCCTTGGAA